TTTTTTTTATTTTTTCCTCTTTACTTATCTTTATTTATCATAGCCAATTTTATTATTACTGACTATAATATATATTATATAAAGATATATTATACTGAATAATATAATATTTATCTTATATTTTAATCTTACCTTTTATATATATATAAGATATATATCATCAAAATGAGAAATAAATAATTTCAAGGATAGAAATATAATATTGCAGTCAGTAAAATTGATTATGATAAATAATACGCAGTTTGTTTTAACAACAAAAGTTAGTTGCTATAAAATCAATGAATATATATAATAAAGATGGTGCATCTCATAATAAATCAATAGTTCATGATGGGAAGAAACCAAGGAATATAGTAGGGAAGATTAAAGAAATCATTAAAATAGATTCTCTATAAGTACAATCAGCAGTAATAGAAACATAAGGAGTTTTAACACCACCAGTTAATCTATTAGTTAATTTCATTTGATAACAAGCTGATAATAATACAGAAATAGCAGCTACTGCACCTAATAGAGGAGCTCTATTAATAGCACCAGTTATAGATAACATTTCACCAATAAAGTTTATAGATAAAGGAGTACCTACATTAGAGAAACTTAATATAATGAAATATATAGATAATATAGGCATATAAGTTATTAAACCTTGGAAATAATGTAATAATCTATTATGATATCTATCATATAATATACCTCCTACTACTATAAATAAACCTGGTGATACAAAACCATGAGCTACACATAATACTAAACTACCAGTAATACCTGTTATTGAATTAGAGAATATACCTAATATACATACAGCCATATGACTAATAGAACTATATGCTATTATAACTTTTAAATCAGTTTGTCTTAAAGTTATAATAGATGTATATATTATAGTTATTACACATAATACATATATAAAAGGTGTATATAATATAGATGCATCAGATAATGTAGGTAATATTAATCTAATAATAGCAAATACTGCTAATTTTAATATAACACCAGCTAATAATATAGAACCTGCTAAAGGTGATTCTGAATGTACTACAGGTAATCAAGTATGGAAAGGTGCTAAAGGTGTCTTAACAGCTATACCTATAGATATAGCTAAATATAAAATACATTGTAAATCAATAGATAATACTAATAAACTAGTTGATTGATAATCTGTATTATCTAATATAACTTCATATAAAGCTATACCTAATAACATAAATAATGATGAAAATAAAGTATATATTAATATATAATCTGCAGCTTTATCTTTATTTGCAGCCCCATATAAACCTATTAATATAAATAATGGTGCTAATGATGCTTCAAAATAAACATAAAAAGATGTCATATCTTGACACATAAAATTTATTAATAATATTATACCTAAATTTAATACTAATTCATAATATATATTACTTTTAATATTATTTCAATTTGATATTATTGATAATGGTAATAAATATGCTGTTAATAATATTAATACATCTGCTATACCATCAGTTGTAAAATATACATCTATTTCTTTTCAATCATATAATGTTGGTATTGCTATTAATATACTTGATATTAAAAATATTTGTTTTGATATATTATTTACTATCCTTGATACTATTGATGTAAATGCTGTTAAAAATATATAAGTTATTGTCATTAATATATATATATTCATTTTAAATATATATTTATTATTTCTATGATTAAAGGGATTTGAACCCTTATTTACCTTTATAGTAAATTAGACCTAAACTAATCGCGTCTTCCTATTCCGCCATAATCATTATTCGGATGCAACGTGATTCGAACACGTGGACTTATCGTCTTAATAGCTCAAATATTATGCTTTAAACCACTCAGCCATACATCCTTACCCTTATTATAAGGTTATTTTATTTCAATGAATACTTTAATAATAATATATATATAT